CCCCTGCATTCTGCTTCCGCTGGTTGTGAGCCAACAAGGCTGCAGTAATCTCCTCAACGTTGATAGTCTCTTTCCCATATGTAAGAGTAGTCACCATGTGTTCGTAAGAGGAAGGCAACGAACACAACAGAATCATCGCTCTGTCTTCATCCTCAATTTTCACATCAAGCCGAGCCAGATCAGAAACGATTTGATTGAAGACATTCACGTGTTGCGCCAAATCGTGATCGTCCTGCATCTTCAGCCCATACAGCCGCTGCTTCAGATACAGTTTTGTCGTTAAGGATTTGGACATAAACTGACTTTCCAACTTCCTCCAAATTTCGTCTGGAGACGATAGATGCATGACGTGATACATGACCTCGTCCGCCAAGCATAATCGTATGGTTCCTGCCGCTGGCTGCTGCAATTCTTCCCAATCTTCCTCATCCATCGACGCCGGCTTTGTAGGTCGCAAAGCCTTCAAGATCCCTTGCTGCGCCAATAGATCCTTCACCCTCGTTTGCCATAATCCGAAGTTACCCTGACCATCGAATTTCGCGACTTCGAATTTTGCTCCTGACATCTGATACCAATTGTTGACGAAAACGGGTAAAGAAAACGAAAGAACACGAGAATTTTACGAGGTTCGGCAATGTGCTTACGTCCTCGGTGCCTAGGCGGCGCTAGAAGTTTTATTCAATGATCTTTTTAGGTCTAGGTTACATCTCTATTTATAATAGAAAACCCTGGTACATAATTACAAAATCAACCCTGTACCGTACCGCGGGGGCTGCGCCCCCACACCCCAACCCACATAATTCGTAACCCCACAACGAGACTTTTTATGAGCCATACATAACACTTCCCAAGCTTCAAATCCAAAACGCTTCCACAAGCACTTAAAATGCAAGCAAAAGGTAATATGGGTTGGCAAAATATCTTCTGAAACCATAAGCTTATAAACATCCAACGCCTTTTTCCTGGTACCCTTTTTTTAACATTAAATTACTGGAATTGTTCCAGGAGACAACGTTTCTTTCAGGCATTTGTTAGAACATCTTGCATGCAAAATTTAAGTTCCCAAATTCAATGGAAGGTGAAAATAGCATTCCATGAATAAATGTCCTTCCGAGGGGTATAGTGGAACGTGCGGTCAGCAGAGGATGAGTCGTTGCATTTGGAATAGAGTTCGATGAGACGGTTGCATAGGAAAGTGTTGGTTAAAAGGTGGTTGCGGAGAACATGAGCATGAAAGACTTTGCCAACTTCCAATCCTCAAATGATCCAATGAATTTAGGTCGAAGCTTATCTTTATGGCCAAAACGCAACAGCATTTTCCAAAGCAAATATTTCAAGAACACACGATCACCAACTTGAAATTTGATGTCTCTATGTTTCAAATCAACATAAAATTTCTATCGATCGAAATTGGCTTCAACATATTACGGATCAACTTAACTTTATAATTCGTCTCCTTAATCAAATCGAGACCAACAATTCAACTTTCAACCATTTTAGACCAACACAAAGGTGTCCCTACACCTCTGTACGTACAAAGCATATCCATCAAAATCTGAATCACACGCTCAAATTGACCATCCGATTACAGATGATAAGTTGTACTAAAAATCAACTTTGTTCCTAAATTCTCTTTCAAACTCTTCCAGAATATCGACGTAAAATGTGGGTCCCTAACCAAAAAAATAGATAAAAGAACATCATAAGAACGCAGGATCTAAAAAATATACAACTTTGTCAACCTCTACATAGAGAAATTAGTACACACCATAAGAAAATATACTCTCTTAGAGAATCTATCAACAATCACCCATATATAATCTTTCTTCAGTGGAGTCAAAAGTGACCTGAAATAAAATCAATAATGATTTGTTCTCACTTCCACTCTAGAATCCTTAGCAGGCGAAGCAAACACAAAAAGAACTGATGCTCATCTTTCACCTTTTAAAACAATAAGAATTTAGAAATAAAATGTACCACTTATCCTCTCATGTTGGGCCACTAATACAACTCACGAAGATTTTGATACATACTAATACTTCTCTCGTGCATAGAAACATGACTAATATGTACCTCACTGAGAATAACATGCCTCAAATCTAAATCACTAGGCATGCAAAATCGAACACAAAACCCCAAAATATCATCTAAATCAATGGAAAATCACCACTAACACCTTTATTGATTTGATAAAATTTCTTCTCCAAGAATTTATCACCCAACTGCTTACCCTTAATTTACTATGATGAAGTCGGATTAATGTACAATTCCGCTATAAAACCTCCATCGCTGAGTACACATAATCTAGTGAAAAATGCACGTAACTCAACCACAACTTTTAACTCAAAGCATTCGCAACAACATTAATTTTTTCGAGATAATACTCAACAAAGCAATCATAATCTTTCAGAAAAATTAATCAATCTCCTCTGTCTTAAGTTAAGCTCCTTTGTGAGGAGATACTTAAAACTCCTATGATCAGTATAAATAATAAACTTGCAACACAAAGAAAATGTCACCATATCTTCAATGAAAAAATCAAAACCGTTAACTCCAAATCATGAGTGAAACAATTAAGCTCGTGTGGTTTTAGCTGCATAGACTTATAAGGCACTACTTTACCTTCTTGCATCAATACACGACCAAGATTCGTGTATGACACATCACTATTGTTAACTCTCGGAAAGAGTTGCATTTTATGTCTTAGTTTGGTAATGCTTTTAGAAACGGTGGTGCAAAAGTGTTTTTTAAAAGTGATTCTGTAAAGTACTTTTAAGTTGTTTTGTTTAAAAAAAATTAAGTGTTTTAAGTTAATGTCAAAAAGTACTTTAAATAATGAAATGTTTATCTTAAACATTATTTTTTAAAATATAATACAATTGGTGATATAAATGAAGACAAATGAAGAATTGAGTTAATTGCTCGTACTTAGTTGCTTTTAGTTACATTTTTAGATTATTACATTGTCATTTCATGACATTATATCATAGAGCTTGGCTTAGGCTTAATTAGATGTAATTGTTTCTTGTAATCGTTTTTAGGAAGGTTTTATGTTTGTCAGGTGTAAATGGGTGCATGCGGAAAATGAAAGTAGAAGTTAGAGAATTATCATGGCAATAGTATGCGCCAATTGTCAGCAATATTGCCGTGGCAAAACCGCTCCAGTTGCCATCAACATTGTCGTGGCAATATGAAAAGATATTGAGTCAGCTCTAAAACATGCGTCGTTCTAGGCTTCCTACATATACGTGTACTAGATAAATTATTTAATAAAGAAGCAATTGTGGGCCAAGGACTTAACCTTAGAGGCAAACCCTAAGAGAAAGGTGTGAAGCACAACTAGAAAGTTTGGACAACAGAAGAAGACACACGATTGTAGAATCCTCATTGACGACGGAGAGACGTTGCACTGACCTCACTGAGTGCTAGAGAGGCGACACCTTATTCCTAGATTTCTTTCGTTGTTTCTATTTATGTTTCTTGGTTTTTCGATTGCGGAGAATGATGGTGAATTCACATTTTATTTTACTTATTTTTAGTCTAGCCATGAACTAATGTTTCTAAGGTTGGGGTTGTTATAGATACTTCAATTTACGATGGAAGATTAATCTTAGTTTGATTTATTCAAATGTTTTACTTAACTGTTTTGTAGGATAAATACTTGCTCGTCATCGACGAATGATCTTGCAGGTTTACAAAGATCAATTTAATTCTGAAAAGATTAAATTATTCAGTTTGTGATTAAGTAATTTGAGAAGATTTCTTGGTAGAATAATTTGTGCAACTTTAAACATAAAGATCTGCCTCACACGAGTTAAGCTAAGGACATCACTATGTGTCATATACATATAGTCTTGAAGATGGTTTAGCCTAGTTTAGTTGTTGACATATAGAAACCCCTAAGACTCGAGCAATTAATAAACCATAACTTCATCACAACATTAATTTATCTTTTAGAGTCAATCCTATAGCAATCTCTGCCGCTTAGTTCATCATTCATAACTTCTTCAAGAATTTTAGTCATAGTTTTTATTGCTACCTTTACGCTAAATTATTTATTTAATTTCATAATTCTTCAGTTTATCTTTTTATCTAATTTTATATTTCACCAATCGATCTATGTGGAGACGTATTTATTCATCACTTTGTTACTTGTTCATTGTGTACACTTGCATAATTGTGCATCATAAATATATGCAACAGGATTTTTACTTCGTTGTTGGAAATTGACAATTGATACAACTTGTTTTTGTTATCACATTTTATTTACTTTATTTACTGTTTTTTAAATATTAGGTGTAATATTGAAATATTCTATATTGATCATGTTTCCAATTTTTCGCTCGTGTTATCATTGCTCAAATAGACATATTATGAGTTTCAGATGTTCAATTGAGGTGTTTTATGATGCATTAGAAATTTAAATAAAAGACGATTTATATGTAAGAAGACATTATAACTTAAAATTGCACGAATCTCATTTAAAAATTTATCTAAAGTCAATTGATATTTCAGCCTTTAAAACTAATTTTAATTTCTTATCCAAAATACAAATATTTCACCTCTCTTATTATGCATGTATCAAGGTACCAAAAACTTTCAAAGATCTCCAAAAATTAGATATAAAATGAGAATCTCGATAAACCATTACGAAGCATGTATAATTATTAATATATTAAAAATAATAAATTAAATAATAATATAATCGATCTAAACTTGTAAACCACTTTATAAAAAATAACTATTTTTCTTAAGGAAAAAACCCATTAAGATCTAAAACAGGGAATATTTCGATATTTTTTTCTTCTTTTATCTTTTTAGCTACCAAAATAATTTAGTGAGTCCTGAAAATCGATTTAAGATATTATGTACTTTTTTAATAGGATAATATTATATACTTAGATACACTTCAATAAATGAAAATTTCATATTATGTAAACTTTAATATATTTATAAATAAAAGCATACTATAAAATGAAAAGCAGAAAAATAAAAGAAAGAGCTCTTCCCCACTCACTCTCTTTCTGCTCTTTTAATTTTCCTTACTCTCTCCTCTTTTCATCTCTCTCTTGCTTTACCATCTTAGTTAAGTCTCCTCTATGACACTACCAGTCTTAAACACTCCTTTCTTCTTCCTCCCCTTGCTCTTATCAACTTTCCCAGTTGTTCAAGGAGCAAGCTGGTGCGTTGCCAGGAGTGATGCAAGCTACAAAGCTCTTCAAACCGCACTCGACTATGCATGCGCCTCCGGAGCTGACTGCACTCCTCTGCAGTCAGATGGGCTCTGTTTCCTTCCCAACACCATCCAAGCTCATGCTTCCTATGCTTTCAATAGCTACTACCAACGTAGAGCAATGACTCCTGGTTCCTGTGACTTTGCTGGCACCGCCACTGTTGCTAAAACTGATCCCAGTTTGTTCTTCATCACTTTCTTTTACTTCATTTTCTGAGCTTGTTAGAACTGGGTTTTTTCTTAGTTTGGATTCTGGTTTCTCTTTTTTTTTGTAGGTTATGGATCTTGTATGTACCCATCTTCTCAAAGGTATGCATATTTTCCTTCCATTTTTACTCCTGCTTAAACAAATTCTACTGATTTTTTTTCTATATACAGTCACTGGTGCGAATAGTAATATGAGTTGAATAAATTGTCATATTTGTGTGTCCTGTGAATTTCTAGTACAGTCAGCTTTGTTTAAATGGTGATTCTGCAATTTGATAGATGTTTGACACGTGTTTTTTTGCATGTCATCTTGATCTCTAACCGTTCGATCGTTGTACCTGACGACAGTCTTCGTTTCGTTTTGTGCATGTCTTGTTAGTGGTCACATCTTTCAATGCCTTGGGTTCGTCGCTTTGCCTGTTCTGTTTTACCTCTGTCTAGCTTTATGAAAGCAGTTCTATCTTTTTAGCCGTTGGATGGTAGTCTCTTGTCCAATGAGTCAAGGACATCCAACGGTCAAGATTCTGTCTTGTTGGTCTAAAACTGAACCTATTAGGTTTTTATCATCAATGTTAGTACACATTTTACTTTAGCTAAATAGTTCATTTGCTACACAAGTTACGATATTAAGAATTAGGCTTTTTTACCCGAATATCATCCAACAAAATTAATTATCAAAATAACAGTTATTGCTAATTACTTCTTGATCTAACACTTATTTTTGTTACGTGGTAAGAATGTGTTTTCTAGAGAAAGCGTTTTACCGTTTGAGGATTTTTAACCATTTGCTCTAGAGATTATTGATTAATAAATTGATTTTAATAGATGGATCGTATCTGTAGTTGATAAGATTGAACAAGTTATGGGCTTGCCTATTTCGGCTTTGGGGCATAGGATTTTTATTCTTGGCAAAATGGAATGTGGTAAACCTTGCGTCATGGATCCAAATGCATACTCTGTCCCATTGACCACCTTTTACTGTAACTTTTGCATGTGCATCATTCCCATGAAATGGAACATCTTTACAAAGAGAATGATTGATAAATTGACGTATGTAAATTAAACGAAAATATATATTAAATATTCTAATAATCAAAACAATTAAGGTGGAATGTCGTATTTTATTCACACTGGTGAGGTGAGTACTGTTGGATACGAGTATGTTAATCGACCCATGGTAGTGTTTTCCATCTCTGCTTTTCATGTGATTTAACAGCTTGTGTTTCGGAATTTCCAGCACGGCAGGAGGGATAACTACCCCAACAACAACATCACCAACAGTGACGAACAACCCGAATCCACCAACTACTACGACTAATTCGCCACTCGCCAGCGGTGATGGCAATACCGGACTAAATAATCCTGGACTGACCCCTCCATTTCCCACGACAGACGACTCTAGAGCCTCATTCGAATGTATAGTCGACACAAGCTTGACATCCGTCTTGCTCTTACTCATTCTATCGTTAATTTTGCACCCAATATGGATCTTTTAAGCTTAGATGCATGACCCAAGGATGGAGAGGAGGCGATTTTGTTAGAAATTGGAGCCTTCTCTCGGGCTTTGCTGAAGAAACACATGATTTCGGTTCATTTAGTTCTGTTTACTTATCAAGACATCTCTTTCTGATTCAATTCTATATTTGAAATGTTATTGCTGTATGTTTCGTGGAGTATATATGACAAGTGTAAAGAAACACATCTATGGATTAATTATCTTTTGATATTTATCCCTTAGATTTAAGGTATAAATTTAATGATATTTTTGAGTTGGAGTTCATTAATTAGGAAAAAATATTCTAGAATATTAGTTTGGATTGGTTTTAGATTATGTGTACTGATTTTTAAAATAATATTTAAATTTTAATAATGAAAGTGAAAAAAATTCAAATATTAGTTTACGTAATTTTTTCTATTTTATATTTCAATTAACTGAAGGAATTCGTGGTGTATTTTTTATATATTTTTTTCAATATTTAGACGAACAAAAGGTAATTGAAGGTCATGAGAAAATAACAATATATTTTTTTAACAAGAAGATAAATACAGTTTAGGTGGAGCTAAATATCCACATGTCTGCGCGTTTCAGCATCCTTTTAGTATGCCTGAGCTATTTCGACCAGAGGTGTATGATAGATTTTGAGATCGAAAGAATCCTTCCAAACTAGTTTAACCAATCCATCTGTGACCTATCGCAATTACGAGGAACATGTCTGAGTGCATCTGCCAATTACGGTTAATTAAATTAGTGATATGCGACATAATTGATGAGCCACCCGAAGTATTACCATCCCACCCGATTACGGCGAGGGCCTCTCTACTGTCCAATTCCACTACAATCCAAGACATTTGCAATCCTTCAAATAAATCCCATGGTTTCGCATCAATAACTAAACAAATACCAATGGATTTGGAGAATCCCATAATTCTACTGGGAGACATAAAAATCTTAATTCCCACAAAATTTGACACAGATTAAAGCTGTTAGTTGAGAAGTGTATGTTTTGGTTGCTCTAAGTAAAAATATTCAAGTATGAATCTGTTAAATCACATAAACAACGAAGCACCTGTGTTCTAGACTTCTAGTGGTAGATACTCTGTTCTACAATTGTCTTCTTTTTGTGTTTTTCTGTGTGCGTGTGTGTCACCAGCACCGACAGCAGGCTCTCCCGTGAAATGGGGTGTTGATGGGAAATTCGAAAGTGGATATCTTGTTACTGTCACCATCGGTTCGGAGAAGTTAAAAGGAGTCTTGTATCAGGCTCCACAGGATGCAGCACTCCAAGTGCCACATCAATATGGTGTACATGCTGTATGAACTGAACATGTTCAATTATGAGTTTTTAACATCTTGCTTGGACTTTTGTCATTGTTCAGGTCTATCAAGACAAAGCTCTCAAAGATAAAGAACGATACAGAATTGAGATGGAGGATTATAGGGAAAGATCAAGGACAGGTCAAGTTATCAGTGATGCAGTGCCCCTACAGCAATGACTTCCTGTACCAGATGTGGATGTGACGGAAGCAGATATGAAGCTCGCTTGACAAAACTGAAGGTGGTGATTCTCCTCAAACTCAGGAACATGACTCAGGCTCTGGTGAAAGTGATTCAAAAGATGATAAAACTGAAGATAAGAATTTAGATAGGGAAGAATTTATCTAGGTTCACTCACAACATAAAAGTTGTACAATCCAATTAACAACATTAATTTCATAAAGAGAAAAAAAACCCTCAAAATCAGGACGAAACCTGAAAGAAATAAAATGAAAGAAGGGACAGAAAATGGACCAAAAGAATGGACTGTTCTGTTCCATGGGAAATTTTGATTTAATACACTGATGGTAATGGCTGATACAAATATACCCACAAAGATGAATAAAGACTGCAAAATACGAACCACATCATTTTTTTTTCGTTCAAATGATTGAAAATGTCAGGAATCTGAGACTAAAAGAGCATCCCAGATTATATCCATGTCCAACGAAGGCATTCTACTTAACTGTACAGCATCCACATCCGATGATACACTCTCCTGAGTTTTCTTCTTGTTCTCATTCACTTCTGATTCTGCCTTGCTCTTCACCTCAAATTCCCAATCTCTTTTCGTTGTGTTCTGGTTTAAACATTCGACATTTGCCTGCCTCGACTGTGGATTTTTCAACTTCTTGTTACCGGCAATGCCTTGTGAAATTGCTTGCAACTTGGCTTCAAGGAGTGCAGCAGTGTTCCCATTCAAAGAATTGGCCTTCAGTTGATGCTTAAGATCCGGAAAGTTCAAATGCGCATATTCTCCACGCAACATGTATGCTGCTGTATCATATGCCATAGCGGCTTCTTCTGCGGTGTCGAAAGTCCCTAGCCAAACCCGAGTTCGATTTCTCGGGAGCCGTATCTCAGCAACCCATTTTCCCCAATGTCTTTGCCTTACCCCTCGGAACAGCTTTCCGGACGATGTCGAGGCTGATGACAGTCGACCCTTTTGATGCTGGTTCTGCAATCTGCTTCCAGTGTACTTCATAGGTTGAGTCTTGGTGCCAAGCCAATAGTCACTAAAACCTTTGGTTTGGAAACTGGCACAACTCTGGTTCATTCTAAGCCATTCATCGCCCATTCGAGACTGAATCTGACCAAGTTGAGGCAATTGGAATGAATGGTTCGGTCCAGGCTCACTCTTTTTCCCAATGGCTCGAGTGGTTGGATCTAACATGGCAGGTTCCTGCAAAAACAAAGTTAAGTTGGGGAATTTCGATGGCGATGGTGGTTCGGAAACTTGAGCTTGGTTCAGTTTCGGAAAAGACTCCAGGAAGTTCAATGGCATAAAACCATCCATGACATCAGAAACAAGACCACCATGTGAGGGAACAGAACCGAACAAGCCTGAATGATGTTCATTCAAAACATCCTGTCTGAGAAATCCAGGGACGTTTGTTAAGAAATTGTGTCCATGAGAAGAACTGGAATTGGAGCTCGAAACAAACCGATCAGGTGAAGGAGATGACGACGACGATGGTGGTGGTGACTTGGTTCTTCCACTGCCATTTCCGTAGGAAGTACCAGTTAAAGTACCAGAAATGATTGGATCGTTGAAATTAAACTTTGAAGAAGTTGGCATGCCATGAATATATGATGGCCACTCCTTGTTCATCAAAGTTTCTGTTTTAGGAAATTGATCTTCCACACTCATAATTTTTGTCCGAAAACAGAACAAATGGAAGATATATATAGAAAAAAATGCAATTCAAAGTACAGTATATATTAACCCTTAATCGGAAGGTTTCTGCTGAAGACTTACCATAATAATAATTTATGGGAAGCTACTTTATTATATATATATATATATATGTATGTATATACTGTTATATTAAAAGTTTAGCCCTTCAATCTAAAGACTTTCTTTTTTCTTTCAATTGAAACGGTTGTTTGCCGCGTATAAGCAATTATCTTTCTTTGGTTTTTAGATTGAACCAATGTTTTTAATTTATTTTTCTTTGATGAAAGAAATGAAAAGAAAGAGAGGAAAATTAAGCAAAGAATAAAAAAGATAAAATCTTAGAATAATACATTTAAATTATATACAAACATTCATGTACTTTTAATTTTATGTATTGATTCCTAGAAAATATATCGTTATTTGGATTTAAATATTTGCAAACTCATAATTCTTTTATCTATTTTGATTTAATTTTAGCCTATTTTGGTAAATTTCAAATTTCATTTATTTGTTCCTTTTATTTATTTACTTATTTTGAAATGTATAATTATTTTTTTAAGAAAAATAAAAGCATCTTTCAGTTATTTTGATTGGTCAGAATCAAGGGACAAGTACAATTTCTAAAATTATATAATTATAAATATATATTTTTTTCATTATAATTATTCTATAAAAAGTTCTGCATAAAAGAAAATCTAAATAATGATGAAATTTTAATATTTCCTCTGTGTGGGACAGGTAGTATTATTTACATATTTTTAACTTATTGTTCTCTCGATTCTCTAAGGTTTTATTTTGATTAATTCAGATCGATCCGTATCATACATCTAATTTTGATAGGTGAGTCTTTCAACGGGAATTTCTGCATACACAAAGACTGGAACTCGAGATCATTTACATATATTTTAATCCTTAATTTAATATTTTTATAATATATTAGGTCAACCTAATTCATAATTGGGTTTTTTCATGTGCATGTATTAAAGATAATCAGGAGATAAATCCAAGGTTATGTCATTAATTAGTCATTACCAAGGATTCATTAACAACATTATCATCAATATAATAATAAACAATTAATTGAAACAATTCTATTCAAAAGTTGAAACAATATTTGTCTATATATATATAAAAGGTAAATGCATCAACAAAAAAGAATATCTTATTTGGCATTTGTTGCAGCTGTCTTTTGAGAACAATTTGGGGCCACTTAAGCAGCTCATCTAATTTGGACCCAGTGATCGATTGATTGAAAGAAACGAACGGAGGTAATTGTTTCTAAAAATTTTAAATTTTAATATATTTTATAGATAATTTTTTTTTATATTTTTTATTAAAAATAAATTTTTATTCTTTAAAATTTAATAAATTAATATCTCTAATTTAAAATCACGTGTCTGATTGGACCCATAATAATCATAAATCTTATGATTTTTGAAGTTATCCTTAAGCCACCAGGCTCTAATAAATTCCACTTGGGATAACCATTTCCATGGAGGAAAAAAAAGAGAGACTCCGGATAGATATATTATGTTAGAGATAAACTTATAAAAATTTAAAAGATGAAAATAAATTATTAATAAAAAATATAAAAAGAATCTAAAATATATAATAATTCAAAATTTTTAAGAGAATACTGCTCCACCCATCCCCTAGTCCATCCCTGATTATTTTTATTCATTTTTTTAGCAGATTTAATTAAACTATTTTTCAAAGTTTATTTAATAGTGGGAGCACATGGTCTTGGCCTAATGATAAACATAGATTATTTACTTGATTAATAAGAAGCAAACATGGAACCATGAACCCATGTTTCTTCAATGTCGCTTTTACTTTCTATTTCATGTTTCTTTATTCTTCAGTGTTTTGGGTCACAAAATCAAAGAAAGCAAAATAGAATATGAAAAATTCATTGTCAGCACACACTAATTTCTATTGCTTTATTAAGGGGGCATGTGAAAACTGATGACTTGTTTAAACCATTGAATGACATTGTCTGTTTCTAATTACATCTAGTTTCTTCTAAAAACCTGCACGTTCGTGTATCCCAACCTGGAAGATAAGGATTTTGCCTTGTTGCTTCTAATTCATTCAATCTGATGCCTCAGTGTTTGTCTCCATCTCCCTTTTGTTTGTGTCAGAACATTACCAATTAATATAATTTTTTTATTACCATCAGATTATTACAAGTTAATATTTGTTTAAAATCTTTTTTAATCATTAACAACATGCTCACACCATGCAGACGTAGTTATTTGGACTCGAGACTTCTAGAAAATGCAACACTCTATTTTACTATTGAGGTTAAATTAAGTATAAAAGATACTACGAGATAAAAACAAGCAACAACACCAACAACATTTTATAACACCAATAGAACCCAAACAAAAATAGAGAAAATTGTAAATATTGAGACTTAATATACATATTAATCCTAAAGATAATCATAGCTTGAATTCAAACAATAGAACATTCTTTATATATATACAGCTGGGAGTGCATTGCATAAGAACAGATGTAGTTCTTTTATGTATTAATTTATATTAATTTGGTGAATATTCTTTTTCTACACCTGTGTTGTGATGTATGAGAGAGATGGAATTTTGTCCGTTGTTAACAGTTTGTGGGATGTTGGCATCTCAACCTTCACAACTACCCTCTTTACCTTTTAGTTGAAGTATGATGACATTACCAATAAACTATTTGCTCTTTTCATAGTTAGGGTTTATTTTTTTCTATAGATCCAAGTATACCATCCTAAATATTATTAATGAATTAGATAATAATATATTATTTATTTTTGTTTGAAATCCTTTAATTATGTATAATTGTGCTTTAAATCCTGTTGAAACAGCCCACGGATAAATGATATTCTTTCCATGATATCCACACAAAGGTCGATAAAAAAACATTACAAAAAGGTGAAACAGCAACAAAATGGAACCCTTCTTGTAAAAATGATTCTCTCTTTCGTTTTTCACTCAACTCACTCGTTCATCTTTATGATCTTTATAGCTCAAATAACACCTTGTCTCTATAGGAAATAGAATATCATCATCATTTTGATATTACCACAAACTTGTCAAGGTTATGGCACAAAATATAAATTTCATTTATGTCATCTAAACTTGAGAATAAATGTTAAATGTAGTTATAACTTTCATGCAAATATAATTTTATATTAATGTTTAATTATTTACTATCATGAGGAAGAAACAAGTGAATTGTATCTGTCGGTGGTGATTCATTCCTTTTAATTTGGGTGGAGAGTCACATTCGATGTAAGGGCTACTATTGACCGATTTTTTCCTCCATGGGAGGTGAAGACAAAAGAGAGAATATATGAGTGAACAAATGGAGATGGGAGAAGATCCCTCTCTCGCGACTGAGAGGTATTTATAGTGATACTAGTTGGTGGCGTTAGACATATTATAATTATGATTATTCATAGGTTAACGTGCTAAGTAGGTCTAATTGTTAGATCTTGGATTTGATTTTGCTCATGTAGATTACGTAGGTCTGTCAAAGATTTTATCTATATACTATAGTTGACTCGAAACTATGATATTCTTGATTACGAATGATATGAATTCTTTGAAGGCTTCGATAGAACGTCTTGATTAACAGAGATTGAATAGTTTTCATATGTATCCTCTAAATGTATAACTAGGCGTAATTTTTTAAAAAAAATAAAAATTTAAATAACATAATCGATTTTAACTTTTGAATTGATTTTCATCTCCGTATTTTAAAATTATTTCACTTTTAGCCCCTATATGTGATCAAAATTTGACCAATAATACGTAAACAGCCAGCAAAGCCCTTAGAAGAAGATGCAATAGAAAACCTTATCTTTGTCATTTGGAAAACTAAGTCGGTAGTTATCCATATATTTTTCTTCTCATCACAATCATCATGACTTCCACCAATTTAAGCAACTTCAATATATAATGAAAAAAATAGGAATGGGACTGCACTTTTTATTTTAATACATCTTTCGGTTGTGTGTATATGTATATTGAAACCTTAATATATGAGTTAATCATAACTATTGTAATCGCATTTAAATATAGTACCATATTTATTACACTGTACTTTCTTATTCAATAATTAGATAAATGTATAGTATATATATCTATATTTAATTTAATATATTTTTTATATTATTCATTGATCATAAATAATGATTCAATTAAAGTTTTTTTTATATATAAATTTAGGATAAATATAAGATAATATCTGTTTAAAAATTCTCAATCATTCGAGAATAAATGTCCGTACCCTTGACATTTGCGGTGTTCGAACTCAAGACCTTAAAAAATAACAACACATTCATTAACTATTGAGGCCGCCTATTTTGTGCATGATTCAATAAAATTATAACATGTTGATTAAACATATTATTCACTTAAAAATACAACATTATATTTTGAGCCAATATCATATTGTTTAAATAAGTTTATCTTATAAAATTATTTTTTCGATTTTTTTAAAAATACCATCATACTCGATCTTTCTAATAAAACCTATATAGCCATTAAATTGTACAAGAACCATAGGGAAAAAAACTATACAAACATAGATACAGTCTGTACCATAATACAAGATGTGCACAATAGTTTTACCTATTAATTGTATTATGTTTGTAAACATAGATGGATCAAAGGGAGACGGAATCAGACAATTATTCTTCTTAAAAATTTTAAATTAGTGTATATTTTAGATATTTTTTATATTTTTTATTGATAATTTATTTTTATCTCTTAAAATTTTATGGGTTCATCAATTTTAAAAAATATCGTTTCTAATATAAAATTTATGTCAGTTTTTATTTGTAAGTGCTTAAGAAAATATTAAATCTATTTTATTTTATTTTTGTTACCCTACCGGTTCCAAGACTTTGACCGACTCGCGTCACACACTTAACTTTGGTGGCTAACACTCGAACTCAAAGACCTTGCTTAAACGATATTTTATCACTTGAATTAAATATGATAGGTTACTAAATCTACTTTTAATGCATATTTTATCAATAATGATTATGATGGTCGTATTGATTAGTTTAATGATGACATGTAAAAGACTAAAGTTAATGGTGGGTTCAGAAAATGTTTCTAGGCTGGCAACTTAATGTAATACATTTCATTAGATGGATAAAAGGAACTGGTTCAAACTAAAAGAGCCAGCCCCACACCATTTAGGCACTTCCACGTGTTAAATATTTGCAGTCGAGAATCCTTGACCACAAATTAATTTTATTATTTAGCATGGGATTTACTGGGTTAATAATGTTAAAGTTTTTTTTATTAGAGCTAAACCACTGAACCAAGTATCTTAAAATAATATTAAAGTTAAATATTATAAAATTACCCCTGTTAAAATAAACTTAATTACTCGAGTTATTGTGCCACCCATTTTTAAAACTCCCAATAATGAAAATAAAATTATGGAAGATTTCATTTTAATTCATATAATGATTCAAATATGAACCTAAATTTCTTGATTCATGGACAAATTGGAGTGGTAGATATATAACTTTGAATATATCTAATAAAGGAAATTGTAACATTTATTAATAGAAAATATAAACTTAAACTGCAACATATTGCAAAACAAAATATTTCAAGTTTATTTCACCAATTGATATTTATTATAACATCTTTGATAGGAAATTAATGATATTATATCAAAACTAAAAAAAATCAAGGACATTTATGTTTGCCTTCTTTAGTGAGGATCTTGTCGTAGCATGGACATTCTCCAGTATGTCCATAAAAACCCGAAGGAACACACAAACACCTCTGACAACAGTAATTGCAAAAGAACAAGCATGGCTTCTTATGATGAGTTTTTGAACACCGAATACCGCACGCGTTTGGACAATCTGGGTACAATAAAAATTTTATATATGGTTAAGAATTTATTTCGTAATGATGACCAAACATAAAAAAAAAATAAGAGCAAATTAATTATACCTTGGGGGCGAAGTGATCCTTCCTTTCCAGCCTGTGGATACGAAGCAAATACTATTAGAAAGAAGCATATTTGAATGAAAAGGAAGAGATGAGAAAGACATGTAATACCTTTGTTGTTTGAATGGCAAAAGTGAAAATGACAAGGACAAGAAAGAAAGCAAAGGGAAGACAAAGCCTAGCCATCCTAATATTTTATATATTTATTTGTTTATGGTTTAGAAATTAGAATGGTAAGAAATGAAGTGTATGCTTCACGAGGCTCTCTTTATATAGTCTATAACACTGGAAAATCCCATTCATTTGTACATCTGTACTTAAATTTTAAAATCTCCTTTTATGGAAACAACACTAGAGAATCACTTATTACCACATTTAATGTCATATTTGTTTTTGCTTTCTTATCGAAACCAATCTGTAATTGCTGATTTGTGATTTCCATATATTGATTTTGGTAATTAATTTCACCCCCCTCAAATGAACCAGATTAATTGAATCCAATTAATAATACAGTCATTTTCTATATTTGGTGAATATATTTGTTTTTCTCAATTAAATTTTTTATTTCTCAATTAAATTTTTTATTTTAAAATTTTAAATCCATCAAATCAAATAAATTGACATATAATTTAATCAATAATCATTAAAACTAAATCTATATCTAAGCCAAATCATTATGACGTGAGCCTAAACCCGAATATCTAAATACCAATGTTAAATTCAACCCAAAATTAATTTAAAATCATTAAAAAAAAGTTTTTTTTCTTCAGTAGTCTAGGGTGATTTGTTCAGAATTTCTTTTTAGCCATTGATAGTACACACAAATCCGCAGTTGCTCGAACCTCTCATCGGGAAGCTGGAAAGTGAGCCCAGTTTCCATCGTAAAGTTGACCTGTTTTTCTTGTTGACTCAATCACCCAATGTTCACATAACCAGAAAGGTTGGATTGCTACCTTTATTAGGAATGCTTTCTGTTACTCTAATACTGAATTTCTTTGATCCGGGCAATTAAGAAAAGAACCTTTAGTTTTCTTGCTGGTCTAACATCAGTTTTCTTTTTATTTGTTGAGTATCCATAGACTGTTTCTGTTTAGCATCAATTTCTTTTTCTTTAGTTTATTTGTTGAGTACTCAACACTGAATTTCTTTTCTTTGCTGGTTTAGCATCAACTTTCAAGAATAGTCTTTTAGTTGCTCTTTAAATTGTGTGCATACATGCTGAATTAGTCAAATGTGATCAATTAATGCACCAATTTGTGTAAACGGTCGTGGTTAATGTTTATTTAGGAATCGCTGGTGCTTCTTATATCCCTACGGTTCAATCAGCATTGCCCCGTCTCCTTGGTGCAGCAGCTCCACCAGGGGCAATTGCTCATGAAAATCGTCGTCAATGTCTGAAGGTATATTTTTGCTTTTTAGTTGTGACTATTCTGTTTCTTCCTTTTCCCCCTCTATCAGGAGGATACAGGGATCTATTGTCCGTACCAGGTTTTAAGGTTGTGGCTTGAGAGGAAAATTTTACCTGAATCTATTCTGCGACGCTATATGGACAACATTGGAGTTTCAAATGATGATACAGTTTCAGGATTTTCCCTAGGCGCTAAGAGAAATGGAAGGCATGCTAGTGGATGAGTATGGCAGGTCTAAAATCTCTTTCAACCATTTAAACCAATTTATTATAATGATAGATAAATATAATACATGCTATATTACTATTTAGGTTTGATATTTTATTCAGCTTGGTTCCAAATACATCTAAAACCAAACTATGACCAAATTACTACAATGTTTGATTATCATACCAAACTATAGCTTTTTGCTTTCCAAGTGAAAACAAGCCGTACCAAGTCGGTCAATCGGATATATCTGATTTTCAGCTCCGATAAAAATTTGTTCACCCCATTTATTCATTTTGGCATTGTTCTGTAATCTCGTTAGTATATAAAGCCACATTTCTTTTATTTATCTTACATGATAATTTTCTCAGATCACTATCATGAAATCTTTTCCAGCATTTCAACCACCTGTACCACAAGAATTCCGGGGCACACCAAATGTATGATTCTTGAACATTTCTTGGCTTGTTACTCTTTTATTGGTGATATATTATTTATTAAATCGATGCCTTTGTATGCACAGGGTAATCAAATAGTTCAAATGGCTGGAAATACTCCTCATGGGGGCCATATTGACGTTGCTGTGACAAATGAATTGTTTCCGCAGCAATTACCTTGCGTTGTAACAGGAGTCTGCAATTCTAGAGAGCCTTCTGGATATGTTTCTTCAAGGAAATTCGAATTTGGACGTAATGAAATGTGCTTAAATGCTCAATCCTCTCAACCAAGTCAACAGCTTCGACCTTGTAATACAGTCTTTGTGCAAAGGCCTTTATCCCCAAGTCTTCCACAAACCTCTTCTAGTCATTTCTCATTCACAAAGCCTGCCGTGCTACCACATCCTCAGAATTCATGTCCTCCTCAATTCTCCCTGCCATCACAACATAATGGCTGGAGGCCATTTATTGCTGATGAACAGTGGAGAATGCCCGCAGGAGAATACAACACTGATAATCGGTATGGTGGGTGGGTAGCAGGAAGAAATCCATCTCCTTGTGGTCCAATGTTTGTCCGGGAAGGTATACACATTGTCCTTGAATTAAGTTATTGGGTGATTTATTTTAAATTTACTTAAATGAAATTTGTATTCCATTCCTGCTTGCTTGAGTGAAAGGTGATTTTAGGGGCGTTAATTTCAGTTTTGATCTATTTCATATTATTGTTACCTGCAAATTATATATATCCCCTTTAAGGTTGTGGCAATCAAACTTACACTTGAGTACAAATATGTTGTTATGGATGCTTTACGGTAGTAAATGAGAAATTTAAAAAAAATAAGGAACCTTGCCAACCATGTAAACATGAAAGGCATGCTTACATGATATCTGAAGTCTGAACGCTCTGGTAGTATGCATTTATTTTCATGCTTTGAACTGTTATCATGGATAAGTTCTTATTTTTTCCCCGGTAAACTATGTATTTAGTGATCCACTTATTTCTGTGATATCGTTTTGTCACCCAAATATTTCTTTTCAAAATCATACCTAAGGTTATGTATTGGTCACCCGTCGTTAGAACTGTTGATGTGATAATTTTTTTTTATTTTTTTAATGATGATGTGACATTAACTTATGATGATATGTCAGCATCACCATTAATTTTTAACGGCGAGTGACAAGACGGAACCAAAACTTAATGCTAGGTATGATTTTGAAAAAAAATAGATGGGTGACCAAAAATAGAACTGTGGGAATAGGTGGGGAACTAAATGCATAGTTTACCCTACTTTTTTTTTATTTCTTTTTTGACATGCATCTGTATTAAAAGCCTGTGGTTTTTAGAGTGTAACCTGACAATCTTCCATTTGTTGAAAACTTGAGCTATAGTCTCTACCTTTCGATGACTATGTTAATTGTTCAACAGGTTACTTTAGACCACCTGTTGAAAGACCATTCTCAAATAATGCGAATTTCCGCCTCAATTCCACCAATAATTTACCAGGTGGAGATTCAGTATTGTAATTTTTAATTGTTGTCTGGATTTGCTTTATTTTCTTCTTTTGCCTGTTAAATAATCGATCATGTATTAAGCCAGAAAATGACTTCATTGTTGTATTCTTCAGCATGGTGTGTTTCCATGTCAACCAGACATGTCTGCCATTAATTGTTGGAGGTCAGCTTGAGACTGGGGACGTAGCATAATTTGGTACTAAATACATTTCATACTTTTTTGTTAATGAATCTCAACCGGAACTTTTAATCCTTTTCCCCCTTCATTTTTTGTGAATAGAAAACTTACCTGTCGTTGAAGCGAAACTGAAAATTAGTGTAGTGAAATTTGTTGATTTTTCTGGCCAACTACTACCGAGTATTACCTAATGATGAGAATTTGTGCATCTTTTGTTGCTAGAACAGGAGTTTACAGATAATTTTTTTTCTTCTTTTTTTCATTTGCTTTTTCTATTGTGGAAATACAAGGAACTTTACTCTTCCAGGATAACTAAAAATGCTAAACTCAAGATCTATTCTCCTCATCCTTTCCAATTACTGATCAATTATTGTTTTCTTTGTTAAACTGAGGTTTTTTTAGTTGGCTGCAATTGCAACACAAGTTGCACGGAGGGTGGTTCATTTTTTGGACAAAATAATACCACGACGTAAATGCAGTGTTGATAACTTCTTGGACTCTTGGCCGGATTGTGCATATTATGCTTTTTCCTGACAAATTTATCCCAGGAACATCTCCATACATCTTCCTTGGTTAGTATATCTGTTTCTTAGCTTCTCTAATTGTACCGAGTATAAATTGAGAAATCGTTTCTTGTTAAAAATTTGAACTCCGGCCAGCTTATATGAACTAAATATGCAACATTTTTATGATCCTCTTTTATTCAAAAACCGTTAAGTGCCTTGTATGGAGTTGATTACATGTGATATTGCCTTTCCCTTTATTTTGGAGCCTTGTTCAAATCGATACTTTTTGCACAATCAGTTGAGCTGCATGTTATGTATCTTGTGGCTTGCCATCTATATGAACCAAAGTGGTATCTTAACACACCTGCGGCATTGTTGAATTGTTGTTTGGACACGTCTCTTTTAGGATGTCAGTGCCCCCTCCCTCCTTGTATTTAAATGAGTGAATGAGGAAATCACTTGTTAATTTAGTATCCGTTCGCTGCAACTGTAATTGATTTTTTTTTTAAAAATGATTTACGTAAAATGAATTAATTTTTTTAGGAAACAACTTTCCTAAATTATTTTATGATGTCTAGAAAATGTTATTGTTGTGGAAACTCCACTTATTAGTAAATTTTCATTTCTTTTATTATAAGAACTTAGTATTCTTAAAATATTAAAATAATTTAGTCAATATTAATTTTTTTATAGTTTTATAAATAAAACATTAAGACTTTTATATTTTATTAAAATAGTAAATATTATTAATTATATTAATTACTTATATTTTAGTAATATTACTTATTAAAATAATAAATATATTTTATTATATTAACTGCTTATTAAAATAAAAATATTATATTATATTTTAAATTTATTAATAAATATATTTTAATATTTTAATAGTTAATATATTTATTAAAATAACACTAGAATATTAAATTAATAAAATAATATTACTCATTAATAATTCAATAATAGTATTTGTATGCAAATAGTAAATAGTATTGATTAGATTAGTGATTTATTATATATTATTACAATAAAAATATTATATTATATTATTAAAGATTATTAATAAATATATTTTAAATATTAATAATATATATTTTTATTAAAATGATACTAAACTATTATATAATTGAGTATATATTACTTTAATATTAAAACCTATAATATTATTAAAATTATTCATAAATATATTTTAAATATTTAAAAATTAATATTTTGATTAAAATAATACTAAAATGCTATATTAATATATATATATAAAAGTCTGGTGACCGAAATGATTTTTTTTAAAGTTATGTGACCACTGGTACCATTAAAATTATTAAATTTAGCAATATTAACCTGAATAATTATGAAATTAAATAAAGTTGACAAAAAAACATTAAGTTAACACAAAAACACGAACATATATATAGTATAACTTGTTATCATGCTTAGGAACTTATATCAACCCTTACTTTCAGCTATGAAAATGTTTTACCGTTCTATGCATTTGAAGTTGTTTAAGCGGAACAACTTTCATTTTTAGCCAACTGTTCAGTACAATTTTCCCCGGATGTTTTCATTGAAATTGATAAACTACTCTAAAACAAATGTAGTAGAGAACACTAGGAGTCATTTATGGACTGACAAAAATTACTTAAATAATGCATTAAGAGAAAGGCATCAGTTATGAAGATTACCTGAACAGCTCAACGAGGCCAGACAAACCAATTTCTTCCTCCGGTTTTCTAGGAGCATATATACCGATAATACCACAGCAAAAGTTTAAAGCAAATTCTCATCTCTCTGTCATACTGGATGAATTCTTTTCAGCCAACGTTTCTGGGTCTTCGTTCTCCAATCGGTTGTCGAGAATTTCCAAAACATTATCAGGTGGGCACTTGTCAGCAGGATTTTTAGGTGATACTTGACAGAAGCATTCCGGCCAAGAATTTGTATAAAAAGATTCAGGTGGCACCCGCTTGTGAGGTCCACCAAAGTTTGTTTTAAGCATGACATGCCTAACAGATTGTTTGAAACCGGCTGTCCTTCCATTCTCTCGATCAATGAATATTGGAGCAAGACCTTTTCTGTCAGGTCTAATTGTAGTTCGAAAACCGTAATAGAGTCGGTGACCTAGCAGATTGTTAGCAAAGTTGCTAGGCCCGTCATACGTTGGCATAAAAATATCAGAAAGAAGACAGACCATGTAATCAACAGCAGAGCCTAACAACCCACGAGTGTTCGTAACCAGTTCCTCTGAAGAGTCTACAGAAGTGTGATTCTCAAGGCGAGGGAACAGATCCCGAAAAGGTTTCATAAAACGCTCTCCTCCAAATAATTCACCAGCTGCTAGGTATATCCGGGTAGAATTGTCAAATCCCATAGCACGCAAGATAAGACCAACCTGCAGTTCAAACAGTCATTATACATATAAGAACCATTGCCCTTGCCACTCTCTCTATGAGAGGAATGAATAACAGGAAATGCTACCTCTTCTGGAGTTAGTGGGCATTTCCCAATGGCCCTTCTTTCTTTGTACACAAGCCTTTTATCTGCAAAATTTTCCTTCCTATACTTCTTCAATATACTTTGCTCTTCTGGGTTAAAAATATCAAAGCACCTATAAAACCATTCAAAGCCTATCAGCCAGTCAAAGTCTTCATGCATATCATGACATATATCACATCAACCCATGTGTTTTTCTAGTCAATATAACATGATTATTGAAATAGATAAAAGAGGTCACTTTGGATCTAAAATGACTGGGAAAGGGTTTATAACTCAAAATTATCAGTAAAACCACTGGGCACGATATTGGATATTTCTTCTTGCCTCAAGCAAAATGCATTGACCCGGAAAGGGGGGATGGAATACGACATTCACAACACAGAATATTGCTTTGTAGATCCATTGCCCAACTACTATATCTATATATGTTTGAACAAAAGATGAAATGTAGAAGTGCAGTCCTTGTATGCGCTTTAGAAGGAAATAAAAGGTCCTACATTTCTTCATCCTACAGCTAAAGCTATGCAGACACAAAGACCAAGCAAAATGAATGCATAACCCACACAACCTATGGCAGCTGTGAATGAAATAACTTAGATATATTAAGGTAAAGAACATACCCAGCAAATGCTAGCATATCCATCTCAAAACGAAGATGTATTGACATGAAATGTCCTTGTGCCCGGAGTTTATCAACTATTGACTCACTTAACTTCATAATGTTTGGCTTGAACCTCAAAGCATGATAGTTAACTCTACATCTCAAGCGTTGATACTCAGGATTGTCAATTTCTTCAGCAAGACGATGTGAAAAGGGAGTTAGATAAATAGCACCATGTTCCTGCATTTTCTTGAGAGCAACCATTGTATACCATTCGATAGGAGCATCCCTCGGAGGGTGAAGCTAAACAAATAGAGAAAGAAGCAAGAACAGAGAAAACACATAAGTTTCAACAACTTCTAAAAAGACTTGACCATTATTTTCATGATTGATAATTATAATCACTGGCACCAATATCTCACCTGATGCCCTTTTATCTTCTTGGTTTTACCGTTTTTTCGGATTTCAGGTATGCTTTCCACAATTCGTACATCATACTTCAATGTCCGGATAAAATGCTCAACATCATAGATACCTTGGAAGCCACTGAAGAAAAAAATAATGGTAGCGGCACATTTAATTTCAAAAGCTCCACAAGTAACAATGGCAAGTTGCCTCAGTGAAGAGCTGGAAAAAAAATTCCATGTGATATGTGAATATATTCCTAATTTTTTTAGGCAGGTGAATAATAATTAATACTCAGCAACCATAGAAATTAAAACATAAAAAAGTCCACAAAATATAATTGTAAACTCGCTAAAGACCTTTGCATTCATAGTGGTTCAAGTTTTAGTGAGAAGCAATTGTGAAAAATAAAAATCTGCCAAAAATGAACTTAGTTAACCTAGTTCAAAACATCAGTCACCGAAAATTTCTGATATGTAAAACGAAAAAAAGATTGCCGGAGAAAAATCAGATATTGCTCACTCTAGAATAGAGAATTCAATCACATTGCAGTATAGGAAGATCCTCAAAGAACAGATATTCTTAACCAAAAAAATACAGAAAATAACTTAAAAAATTATTTGAGTCATCCAAAAAATGTGTAATTTCAAGAGCAAGTTCATATTTTTGTTGGATCTTAAAAACCACTAGTGGCTCTCTTCCTAATAATTCTTGGATTTCCTGGATTAGGAGTCATTTCACCCAACAAACTAAGAACGGTAATTGATAAATGCAAAAAATTCTGAGTCTCTAACATTAAACTATAACTTTAATATAATAAATTGAAATGAAAATGACTCAAGTTGACCAATAAAATAAACACAAACTTGCTGCAACCATAGCAAGTTCACTCAGAAGGGTACCAAAAAGAGAAAGCAACCTACGGCCCAGTGAACAGATTACAAAAGATAAAGCATTAAAGCCAGCAGCAAGGTAACATATATTAATCTTCACAATGCAGAGGAAAATCAGAAAACTAGCCATCTAAAATCTGTGTTCATAATAATGAATGCTCAGCTTCAGTTACAGAAAGTAACCAGGTATTTTCAAATAAATTTAAATTAAAAAAAAAGGATTACCTCTCATCATGCCAAAAGGAGTTTGCATCCAACTCAGGCAGCACAAGCGTGGCATTCATAATCCGCGCAGCAAGCACTGCATTACAGATCTAGAACACCAAAAGAAGCAAGCTCACTATTTTTATTTCAAACTTATAAACCATTGAAGCAATATCACCACAATCTAACTCTACTTTAAACTTTGGTAATGATTCATAAGCCCTTATAGGTACACTAAGAATCTAAAACAAAACATAGACATGAAATCTCAAGCTGGCTTGCACCCGTATAATTTCCATGGAAGAAGCTAATTAACAGTATATGACAGAGTAGAGTTTATGGCAAAAAAATTAAGACAAACCGCACTGCGTTGCTGGTTCAGACCACCATTGCAACGGACTCGAAGATAACCATTAGTTTCCCTTGGAGGAGCTGCCACAATATGACAATAAGAATTCTAAGAAACTTACATCTTCAACTAAATCAATTTAGACAGACTGGTTTTTCTTTGAGAAAGTTATGAGAAGTTACGGGGCCAATCAGATCGTGGTGCGGATGAAGGCTTCCATCCACCAGACTTGGCACTTTCCCAAAGTTCTTCTGCATTGATCTGAATACGCATTTCAGAAAATAGAATGGTCAAAGGTTAGATTGATCAACCAAAAATGGCCAACCATTAAAAGTGGAAAAGGGTGAGAATAAATCCTAATCACTAGCTCATCTCACACAATCAGTCTTAAGCTTATTTGAAAACATTTCCCATAAGATAACAAACACCTATCCAAAAATAGTGTTAAAGGAGGAACAATACATTAAAACAACTAAAGCAATGACCCTCTTAAACATAATCTACATGATCCTAGCAAATTAGCATAGCGCCAGACTAATGCAATAGATCAAGCATTTCTACTATGATGATTTTTCATGCAAGTAAAAGGGCCAATTGAATGAGTTATATTACAAAAACCAAATAAGCGATCATCTAATACCAACCAAATGAAATATTTTTCAAACAAGGGATTCCCCTAAAGCATAGAGTGTTAGCATTACTGTATACTCACTCGTCCAGTTTACTTAACTCCCAATTACAAAAGACCATTGAACTTAAAACATTTCTACATTCTAAATTTTAACAATCCGATAACAGATGCGCCCAGTTAAAAGCTCGATACTGAAAATTTAATCACTAAGCCACGGATCAAAATTAAAAGCTCCGGAAGCTCGAATTTATAAAGACATAACTCATATAAAGCTAATGACTCAGTCACCGTTACACCTCAAATTCTTTTTTATTTTTGCTAGCATTTTCTCAGAAACCAAAAAAAAAACAAAATCCAAAAAAAATAATAATCAAGACGACTAGATCCTAATTCCTAACTATTACCACTAACCTCAGAATGCTGTAGAGATCCGCGATTTCCGCTAATTGTAGCCGAAAACAAAAGCGAGAGCATGCAGACCAAAAGCACCACAACGGCAATGATTAGTTTAGCATAAATTCCCTTTGCTCCTCCACCTCCACCTCCTTGCTTTCCATGCTGCCTATGCAGCCCCGGCCTGAGCAAAAAAATAAAGGACATTTTAAAAAAGGCCAGCTTGGTTCAATGGAAAACGGAAACATCACTCGAAAATGAATCAACTAGTTTGTTAACCTCCGCATAATTACGAAAGGAAAATCAAAGTATTTCCAGATCTGTAGATTTTAGAGATTTCCTTTTTTCCGGTTGGATTTTACTTGCTGTGCATGTGAAACCTAAAAATTTATCCCCCAATAAAATCGATTTTTCTATTAAAAGATAGAAAATGATAATCATAAGAGAGTGAACTGAAGTTGTAGTTTTAGAGAGTGGCGAACGATGGTATACGCGGTTGTTGATTGCTGAGTGCAATTCGGTTCGATTATTTTTTAGGATAAACTATATTATTGACCATCTAACTATTATCAATTTTCACTTTGATCACTAATCTTTTAGTTTTATCAATCAGGTCACTTAACATTTAAATACATTCAATCAAGTCATTTGTCGTTAACATTTAACGGAAAATCTAAAGTGACAGTTAAAAAACTTAGTATAATTACACATTTAATTATTTTTACTACATATTCTATTAATTTGTTCATTATAACAATGACCAAATATGTAATTATATCAAGTTTTCAACTGTCACATCAACAAGTGGTTTGATTGAATACATTCAAAATAGTTAAGTGAACTAATTGAAAAAATTAGAATATTGATAGTCAAAGTGAAAAGAGGAAATAATTAGATAATCAATAGTATAATTTACCCTAAATATTAATTGAAAAAATTAGAAGATTGATAGTCAAAGTGAAAAGAGGTAATAATTAGATAATCAATAGTATAATTTACCCTAAATATAAAGGTGCATCCTGCAATAGAAGCAACATCAGACGAGATGGCAAGGGGAATGTCCTCTCACGTACCAGGCGTGGTTTGTGAGCACTCACACAACATTGTTATCTCTTTTCACTTTGATCAATAATCTTTTAATTTTATCATTTAAATGCATTCAATCAAGTCATTTGTTGTTAACATTTAACGGATAAACTAAAGTGACAGTTAAAAAACTTAGTATAATTACACATTTAATTATTTTTACTACATATTCTATTAATTTTTTCATTATAACAATGACCAAATATGTAATTATATCAAGTTTTCAACTATCACATCAATAAGTGGTTTGATTGAATACATTCAAAATAGTAAGTGACCTAATTGAAAAAATTAGAAGATTAATAGTCAAAGTGAAAAGAGGCATAATTAGATAATCAATAGTATAATTTACCCTAAATATAAAGGTGCATCCTGCAATAGAAGCAACATCAGACGAGATGGCAAGGGGAATGTCCTCTCACGTACCAGGCGTGGGTTGTGAGCCCTCGGACAACATTTTTCCTCTCTTTGTTCCAATTTCCACTTTACAAGAGAGCATGGTCGAATTGCAAAGAAGTCCCTTGACTTCAAAAACATTTCACCAAAAGCATTTATTTTAAATCGTATTCATTTCAGTCCCCCAATATTTACTAATTTCTTTCAATTTAGACATCATATTTGATTTTCCTTCGATTTAATACTATGAACTTCCTAAATATTCAATTAAATCCCGTAAATTTTAAAGATTTTAAATTGAATTCCAAATTTCACAATTAAAATTTTCGGACTTAATTACAGAGTGTTATATGATGATCGTCCATTAAATAATATTCATAATAATCGATTTTTTGAGTAATTAATTTTTTTTGTCCAATTCTAATAATTATGACTGTTTATTGGGCTTGGACTCCATTAATGGCCGGGTATTGCCGAAATTTCTGTTAATAAAACAACCCAAACAAAACCCTCCACTTTCTCCGTCAGCATCCTGAAAGAAGCAGCAATGGCGAACTCAGGCACTTCCTCTTTCAGAAACCTCTCCAAAACCTTCATCCGCTCATTTTCCACAAAATCATCCCACCATAATAACCACCAAGCAACCCACATATATTTAGATCCCAACTCCTTCCTTGGAAGCTGGAAGAGCCCCAACGACCCCAAAGTGGCCGAGAAAAAGCTTGCCCAGTTGCGACGAGACTACGCCAAGCAAGTCAAAAATGTTCGCAAGGAATACATTCAGGAGATGGAATTGTTGCGCCTTGAGAAGCTGAGGAAAGAAGAGGCTAGAAAAGAGGCGATTAGAGTTGCTAATGAAGAGCGCAAAAGGCTTAAGGCTGAGGCTGCTAAGGTTCGAGCTCAAGAGCGTATGGTTGCTGAAGAAGAGTTTCGACAAACCCTGGTAATCTTTTTACCACACATCCCTCTCTTTATTATATTTCATCATAAATGGAAATAGTTTCTAACCTGAATATTAACAAAAATGCGGTTTGGGGTTTGCATTTTGGGACAATGTTACCAGTGACGCTGATTGATTAAATATTTATATGAAACCTAATTGGACAGGGTAGTCTTCTCCAGTTTATTTAACAGGAATGAGAAACATATTTTTGGAACTGATATGTATAGTTTTTGTTTTTATGTAATTTCATAGTTCTAAATAAATAAGTTCTGAAGTTGGTAAATTATTTGTTTTACTCAATAATTTTATAATAAACTATATGTTAATGGGATAGTTAAGTTTTACTAAATTGGATCGCTAGCAGCTAGCAGTCCGCTTTTGAGATCCTTGAACTGATTCGAAATTCTCTGGTGAGGTATCAATTACTGGCTGAGAGGTTTGTTTAAGTGGAACATGAAATTCAGAACCTAATATTCCTATCCTAATCTTTTGATGCCAGATCAAGTACTGGTTCTGTTAGTTTATAGATGCAATAGAGTTAATTTGCAGTTAAGAAATTGAAACATTTTATTACCCTATATTTGTTAGTTTAAGTTGAGTAAGAGAATCTCCCTGGGTTATCTTTCTTTTCCATTGTATTGAAGAACTAATATTATACTAGCATTTACACTTAATGTTGAAAAAATGGGGAAGCTAAATGGAATTTAGGTGTATGAATGTCCAATTTTACAGTAGTTGTTCCCGTGAATGCCTTGATAGATATGGTTAATCCACAGTTTACAACGGCTAGGTGAAATGATACTGATGATAAACATGATGTTTGAGGACAATACATTTTGTCAGTACAAAATTGCAAAAGGGTGTAACATAGAAACTGAAGACTGAGCTGTGTCGAGATGGGTCATCCATATATCACTCCATTCACTGGGGTTCCAAAAATTTCTTCCAAAATTGAAACTTTCAAGTTAAATAGACTGGTTACTGCTACACTCTTAGGTTTATGTGAGGTAAAGTAGCAAGTGCTTTCAAATTGTAAATTCTACACTTTCTTCTGAAATTCCCTCCCCCCCCCCCCCCCTCCACACATAGATCCTTCCCCTTTCTCAGTCCTTTTCTAGAGCAATCTGTAGCCAGATATTTTGAGTATGGTTAATTTTGCGTGGAGCTGGATATGAATGTACTTTCTTATTCTCAATCATGTAGTGCTGAACTTTGTTTCATAATTTTTATAATTCATATGGTTAATTGTATATTGCTGCTATCTGTCCAGTCTATTTATGTGCACTGTAAACTTTTTCTGACCCAGAGGTGTAAATAAGACATTTGTGCTCATAAGCTTGTGCTCATAAGCTACTTGTGTTCAGCTCAAAAAGGAGCTCAAGTTCAGATCAATTGTTGTCGAGATAAGTTCGTGCTCAAGTAACACGAGCTAGAGAGTGAGCTAAGTTCAAGTATTCTAGTATTTAGCACAAGTTGTTCACAAGTCTAATTGAGCTTTTCATTTTTAATTGTTATAAAAAATCTCAATCCGAACTCGAACTCGAGCATAAATTATCAAGTTTGAAGTTGAGCATGAGATTCACTCTTTTTTTACTAGATAAATTAGCCTAATCGAGTGAGCTTAAGTTTATCTTGAATTAAGTCGAAGCTTTAGAAGTCACTGCTTTGCCCAATTAAACCCGTAGTCTTACCTCATGTCTGTGGCCTTATTTTCAATGAAGTTTACTTGAGCCTTCAATTTGTGCTCTTTATCATGTGATCAAGATTCTATTTCTATGATGCAGTTGAAAGAAAGAGCAGAAAAGCTTGAAAATTGGAGAATGAAGCAAAAGCTGCATGAGAATAAGAAGAAAGAGGCAAATGAGCTACTGCGTAGATCAAGTTCCATGTGGATTGAAGAGAATGAATTGGAGAAAAAGATCCTTGAGGCCGTGATGTATAAGCATGATTGATTTTCCCTTTTATTTTCAACCAACATAAAGTAAGGATTTTACATGAATCTAGTGAGTAATGGAAATGTTTGCACTTTGTTAAAGCCTTGCTTCTATGTGATTTGTTGGTAACAGCTTCATTGGAGATTGATACTTTTGGAACCATAAAGAGAGATGAGAGATTTCCTTATATTAGTGTCAAATTAAGTGATTTTTTAATTAATATTTTAATAATTCAACCGTACCGTTTAGTTTTATGTTATATTTACATAGATCATGCATGGCAAATTTTATATTCTTTTATGACCGTTGGATGAATGAAAATAGATAGTTGAGATTAATAATAAGAAATGAGGAGATATTTAGAGGGAAAAAATAAGAAGATAATCTAATCATCTATTTCAACTCATATAATGATCTTAAAATTGGATAAAACTACAAGTTTCATATTATGTGTAAGTAGATCTTAACTCATATAAATATATATGGGATAAAATCCACTTACACAATATAAATCATTTTAATTTCAGTCCGGACTGAACTTGTTAAATGAGTCTGACTGAGGTTGCAGAAGAGATGACGCTTGACAGACTGTTTCAGGGTTTGGCGAACAAAATGTTCATGCAGTTGGTATCTTTTCAAAGTGAATGTTGGAGCCTGAAAGCCAACTACCCTCTTGCTTGACAAAAGGAGGAGAAAGCCCCATTTACACAGTTCCATCTCCTAATTATTAATTATTGTTAAAGAAAACCAGACCCGGAAAGGGACTCTTACAATATTGTTCTCAATCTAAACCAGCAGCTCTGGAAGAGAAGTTGATGAGTTTGTTTGAGGATTGAAGGCACAACAGACTGAATCTGGCCTATGAACAACTCAAAACCAAAACACCTCCCTCACATGGGAAAGACAATTTTCCATTCCTCTTTTTTCTTTTTATCTCCTGGGAAAACACTAGCAGTACCATCAAAATAAACAATGTCCCAACATTACTATCAACATTAAATTATCATTTACATCCTTCTTTTGAGACAACAAAGGTAAAAAAAATTGTGATTCCTATGCCTGCCAAAAACAACACCTAGCGGCCAAGTGCCGAAATCACTACTCAGTGCAGTAGGTTTTTACTGGCTCTTTGGTTTTTGAATCTTGACATAAGGGAAGAACCCCAAGATGTGAACAACTTTCGGATCCCATTCTTGCTGCTGAGCACGACAAAACATCAGGAATGTGTTAGCAAAATATGAATTGAAGCCCATCAAGATATGCCAAAGAGCATGACCCTGAGGGTTAAAGTACCAACGAGAAATCTCCTCGCAGTAGACCCTGTCAGCAAGCCAACAAATACTCCCCAGGAACAAAGTCGCCACATATAACTTTGCAAGTCGCTTTGCAGAGGCATCTTTAGTGTAGATGTAGTATTTGTACATGCGAGGGATGCATAGAAGGCAGAGAATAACATAATGAACCTTGAAGCCAATTCCAAAGCGGAAGAGCGCATGGATGACTGCAAATCCTACTCCATAAAAGAACAGGAAAATAGGCATTGTACTTCGATAGTGCCAATCTGGTGAGTAGAGGATGTAAAAGTATAGAAGCATTTCCCACACCATTGGTGTTTCATCACCTTGCTGTTGCCTGAAAATAAATTAAACAATCTTCGCATTTCAAAACCAACTTGACAAATAAATAATTGATCAATAAAGTTTATGTTATCGATTCTTAAATCTACATAACATGAGAAATGAATGTTTTCTTGAATTCATTTCCCATGGGAGACTATTTTCCCTCCAAATTTCCTGTCACCTTGAGCACCCGAAGAAAAAGAAAAAGAAAAGAATAGAAATAGATTGACATCTTGAAAATGTGCTAAAGGAACCACAGAACAAAGGTGACATTCGCCAAGGTGCAGAAAAATAAAAAAAGGAGCTTCGGGAACCTAAGGCATGAGTCAAATATTGTGTTTGTCCAATTCCAAGTATATTTATTTATGACAATAGAAGGAATGACCATTTCAGAAGGTAGAAATAAAAATAAAAATTTGAGCTAACTGTAGTATCTGCTTCATATGGAGTCCCTCTACCGCTCAAGTAGGTAGCGAACTCCTTAAACCAATCAAACAGGAAGAAAATGATCTTCCATTTTGAAATATAAAAACAATACTAACATTTGATCTCAGTTGGTGGGACATTAATCTAATAACTTAAGCATTAGGGAATGGAAATACAAACGTAAAAGAATACTTACATACGCTGCAGTGTGGCATGGTATAGCATGCTCCCAAGGGAAAGTATCATGTTAGATATGTGAAGGACACTAAATCTCATCTCAAATCGTTGTCTTAATGCATTTATAAGGCCAATGAGCGCCAAAAGAATGCCTGGGACAATGGAAATTGTGTTGAAAAACTCTGCAATGTAAGATGAGTAAACATAGTTTTTCTCACACCACTCAGCTGCGGTGACAGGACCCCAGAAGCTTGACAATCCATCTTCCATTCTATACTGAATATACCAGAAGTCTATAATTCTTCAACCGAGGCACCTTTCACTGTAATGTTGTAAATGCCATAAAACCTGAAATTTAAATCAATGAGAGTTAAGGTTATATGCTCAATAAAACATGATAATCAATTAAACGGAAAGTACCATCTTTAGCCAAGTACTCCAATTCAGGAAGAGGAAAATAAGAACGCAACTTAAAAAACAAATGCCAAAACACATCAAACTAGCACAAGTACACCAATTCAGATACACGTACTAATAGGCCAAACTAAAAAGAGCCACAGGGCATAGAAAAGAAGGGAAAAATTAGAATAGAGAATCAAGAATTGATGCTCTATGATTAGCTCATAAAGTGTTCTCACCAGTTCAGATACACATACTACTAGGCCAAATTAAAAAGAGCCATAGGGCATAGAATAGAAGGGGAAAATTAGAACAGAAAAGAATCAAGAATTGATGTTCTAGCATTAGTTCATAAAGTGTTCTCACAGAACTCTCAATATAAGGAAAATTCTTTTTCAACATCAGCTTATGCAGAACTCCACATTAAGAAACTTACAAAATTCTTTATGGAAGCTGTATTAGGATCCCTGCATCTATCTGATGCACTTTTTATGTTATTCTTGCCTTCCATACCATTTTTGAACCCATTCAATGGCAATCTCTTTTATTTTCAGATCACCATCACAACCTAGGCATCTAAAGACAGGTATAAATCTAGATAACAAGTCAATAATAGAGAGAAACCCACAATTACTACCTCAAATGCATGCAAGATCTGATTGTCACATTGTGAATTTCAATAAGGAATCTTTTAAGCTCAGTTTCTAGCTGTTCCATCTATATTTTCATCTCTAGGCAGGAAGAGACAGCTTCAAAACAGTTCTCTAAATAAAAATTCAACTAAAAGAAAGTGCTTATTTATTCTCCTATTCCTAGTCAAACTTGAAAATCATTCTACTTCTGATCCTTCCTGACACCGGCATCTAAAGGAATGATTATACCACACAGCAAAAAGCTAACAGCAAATCCCATTCGACCTGAACAGTTTATCCCATAATTAGACCCCTCTGTGCCTGCAACAGCACCAATCTTATCAAATTTTAGTAAAAGTTTGATACTACAGCAGCAATTTCAACTGCATATTACTTTATCTATATCTGGACCTTTCTATTAAAAAAAATTAGCTCGAAGAAGGCATTAAATCTTCCTTAAATTAGGAAAAATACTTCACTTCTCTTTGACTAACTAATTCAACCAATTAAATACCGAAATCCCATTTTCATAACCTTAAAACAATCTTCTTAAATTCAGCACTTCAAAATTCCATCCATCTTTAACCAAAACCTTCAATCTAAGTTCCTCCATAACTTGAAAACAGCCTTAGCTCACTGAAATCTCTCATACCCAAAAATCCAAACTTATCCTCAGGAAAGATACCCTGCAAATATAGCAATTAAATCCCCTATTCAAACGCCATGGCATCTTTGTTTTTTTGTTAAATGCCATATCCATATATCACAATGCACTACCCTCTAAACCTCTCAACCCATACAAACATTCCTTTATTTGAGATAATCTATTAATACCCATTCCTCAAAAAGCAAAAAAAATGGTTTAAATGTCAAAACTTGCCCATATACATCACCCCCCACAAAAATGAAGAAAAGGAAGATATAGAAGAGAATATGAAAGGAAAGCGAAATGGACGCTAACCTTTTAAAACAAATCAGATCTGATGTTGCAACGAAACCAATCTATAAACATCTCTCTTTCACAGTTTTTTTTTATTCATTTTTTATTCAATTTTTCTAGAGGAAAAAAATTTGAAAAACAGATTGAAGAAAACTGGGGGTGGTCCGGGTAGAAGGAATGCAGCGGGTAGGGGTGCTTATCGAGGGAGTAATCGTCGGTTGGATAATATTCGACTCGTGTGTTAAAAAATTTTGCTGTTAGATTCGATTCGTTGCTCGATATGTTTGATAAAATTATGTTTAATTTGTGATCGTTAAAAAAGTTTATTGCTCGACTCATTTCTCGTAATGTTCATTAAAAAGTTTACCTTATTTTTAACTAAAAATAAAATTTACTAATATTATATGAGGATATTAGGATCGAGTTTGTTTTTTTGTATTAAAATAATATTATTAATTAATAACATTTTATTATTTATTAAAAAATAATAAGTTATTAGTTAATTATTTTTTTATTAATAAATTAATAATTATTATTTAGATTTGTTTTTTTGAATAAAATAATTTTGAAGTAATTACTAAAATTATATTTTTAAAAATTAACGAGCTGCTCACGAAATTTATTGAGTCGAGTTAGACTTTAATCAGTTCAGCTCGTTGAGGTCTCGAGTCGAGTTTGAGTCAAACCAACTCGAGTCAAACCAACTCGAGTCAAATATTTTTCACGTTTTGACCGAGTTGAGTTCGATCGTTGAGCACACCTAGCAAGGTGCACGTAGAGAAGAATATTTAGGGACGTTGGATTAAGATGTTTGACGGCTAAGATTTTGGAATTGAAAAGAGAAATTTATCCAAATTTTATTGATGATTTGTGCAGTTTACCATTTTTTAATGTATTGGCTTTTACATGAGATTCGTTGAAATAAATTAATATGTATAATTCCTCTATTTATTTATTTTTGGTAAACTACATATAATTATGAGTAGGTTTCTTTCTCTCTACGTTGATTTTCAAAAAGTAACAATCGTTAATATTATCGATTTATAATAAATTGATCACTCACTATTAATAAAAGTAACAAAATAATGACGTATTAAAACAACTAAAGTGAATAATGAAAGTCTAATAATGTATTTATTTTGTAATATAAATTATATTTTAAATATACTTTTATAATATTTTATGAATTACGTTATAAATATATTTTTTTATAATATTTTATAATTTATGTTACAATCAAAATATTATTTTTCTCGATAATATAACAAGTCTTTAGGTTAGTATACTAATTAGGTATCATATCCCTCTTAAAGGTTTTTTGAGCCCGTACTTGCATTTCATATTTTCGAATGGGTTGAGCTTCAGAACCTTGCTACATTTGTCAAACAAAAAGGAAAGGAAAAATCTAATTTATAAGGTTTCCTTGAAATTTTGAAGTTATTTCCCTATTTCGGGTCAGCCATCACCACGAGTAGAACGATCTTTGCATAAATATTGATGTAACAAACAACAAATGGCATCAGTTTCAAAGAACTAGACTGTCACTACTCACTACTATAGCTTTCGCAATGTCATCTATCTACATTTGGCATAAACGTTAGAGAATACTATACGAGATGGAAAATTCTCATTCCTTTTATAGCTTTCAAAAAGAAGTATTTAACAATAATTTTTATTCTCAGTATGGAAATTAAACTACCATTTCATGCTCTAAACAGCAACTTTCAGAGGCTTTCTTTAGACAGTGCTTTTAAAGCTTCAGATATCTCCTCTGGCGTTGCTCCACCTTTAATACTGCTGATCGAGGGGCCGTCGGAAGGAACGATGTCATTTCTCAAGTATGTTGTTCGGAGCAATGCCTCGGAACCGTTTGTCACCACTTCCTTCATGATCAAAATCTTCTGAGCCCCGGCTATCAGTTCCTCGTAATCAGTGTCTCCAGTTTCACCCACGATGACAAACATGTTCGCGACATTCAGTCTCCAACGCACGAAAAGTTACCTAGTAATCAGAACGAACAGGTTAATCCAATCGAATCCTGGTACAGAGAGGATCATGCAAAAAGAAAATAACAGTGAATAGTCAACTACACATGAAACCAACTTAACAAAATCAACAATGGAATTGTTGATAATTATTTATCATGCATGAAAGATCTTATAAAAGAAAGCTTCTTATTTGACGAAATAAAACATTTGGATATCAGTTGTCTTGAGATTGACATGGACTCATTTTACATGTTACAGATATGTCCATATTCACCTTTGATTACCTCATTCTTTATAGCATTTAAACCTATAATACATGGACACAAGTACGAGTGTCGGATACACGTATGTGTCAAACACCGGCATGGTCATTTTTTTTCTGTTTTCCCATCTTTAAGAGAAACAAACAGTCGGAATGACATTGATTTAAACACCAAGGGTGTTTCAGTTGGCGTCTAGAATCAAAATCCATCTTAATATAAAGAATAGAACTATACCTGAGCGCCTGTGCTCGAGATGCAAGGAGAGGAACAACGTGTATTCTAGTTGAGTTCCTGCAATACATTGGATGGCAACGAAGACCTCGCATCCTAAGTTTCTGCCTCAAATCATCCACTTTCTTTTCCTGTAAAAGCAGCCAACATAAGATCCAAACAAGAAATGCTATTAATTCTTTTACCAATAGGTATATATATATATATATATATCTTGCTCAGATCCTTTACAAAGTATGCAACACAGTGCTCATTGCTTGATTTCCTATCTTCCTCGACACATGGAGAATTTTATTTGTCTTCAGGGTTCATCAACTTCCAAATTGTCTTCTTTAGACCCTCAGCCCCAATGAAAGGCAACATGAGATGCATAATCAGGATCAGCAAAAAGCTTTCCATCCTCTGCCGTGTAATTTCCAGGGTAATACACTTCACTGCCACTGCCACTGCCACTGCCACTGCCACAGATCAAAGCATCAAAATCATTTACTTGAATCTTTTCTGATTTGAAGAAGTCTACTGTTTCCGAGACTGGCATAGCTGTTGACATAGCAAACCCCGTAAATTTTGCAGTTTGAGTGACCAGCCGAACGGCCTTAAATATGTCTTGTATAATTTGAACCATCTTCTTATCAGGGAACCCCTTGCTTTCGTAGCAGTCAAGTGTGAAAACAACTAATCTACGACGTCGCCTCAAAATAGGATACTTGCTTGCCACATTTTCAAGCTTTACTCCTTCAGTTTCTTTCGAGTTTGTTTCCGGCTTGTGTATCTTGCTTAGGACTTGTTTTACTTGGTCTTGCAGCTCCGGGTCACCAGAAGATGAAGCTACAGGGTCAAGGTATTCAGTTAGTGAAGCTTTATCTCCATCAACTGAAAGCCTAAGGGACATGTCTTGCACGTCTTTAAGGAGTCATTGAAAGATGATTCTTCAGCGGAGACTTCATCCCCTGGTGTATCTGTTTGCCATTGAGGATGTCTCATTCGACAAGCTGCCACCTTCGTCAAGTAAGTACAACAGTGTTCATGCCACGATTATAGATGTATATTCTTCCAACCATTCTTCCTGCACTCATGCCATAAGTTTTTCTCCGATATCAACATTAGCAGGGCATCAGCAATTGCTTGCTGATTATGGGGATCCACAAGAAGGCCATTATTTAGTTCCTAAAGTTCACTAAAAAAGAAAAGAAAAAGTAATGTCAAGAACTGGGACTACTACTACATTTTGTATAAGAAACATATAGACAGAAATGAGAATGTTCAGAATCTTTAACATTTTCAATAAATAGTTCCTACAAAGTTTTTAGTCCCTTGTGCTCGAGCTTCGTGATGAGAGTTTAGTATTTGAAAGATCTGGAAAGTTCACCGTCAATATCTAATAATTGAGTGAGATATTTATCCTTCTTACCCGCTGGATGTCAACCGGTCCACCATTTTTTGTTGCCACCATAGGCAGGCCATGAGCTGCGGCCTGCATTATATAAAATAAACAGAGATCAAGATTCTAAATCGTTGAACTTAATAAGATGGCATTGGAACAAATCTCTACCAAAACACACTAGCCTCTATCAGCGTAAGTCCAAAAGGCTCAACCATAGCAGGATTTATGAAAACTCCCTATGATATTTACATCCAGTTAATATAAAAATAATAGCGTAAAAACTAGCTTCAACAATAATGAACTCTAATTAACCTTTTTTTTTTCTGCAAGTCGATAAATATCCGGAACATCATTCTGTTTGTGATGCTTTGGATAGGCACCCTGTCCATAGAGGTCATACTTGTCAATAAGTTTCAATACTGTTAGAAGCACACTAGCATTCAAACCAGTCATTTCATCAATATCGTCCCTGTTTCCCATTACAAGTGTCTGCACAAACAAGGAAAATAATTAGTAGTCTTTCTTCCACTCTCTAAATCAAAATTGTTGCACAAACTAACTTACAAGATTAGCAAGCTCTCGTAAAGGATGACATTCTCCAAAGGCTTTCAAAAGAGTGGTTATGTTCTTCTTTGGATCAGGTCTAGATAAGGCCAAGATCATTGTCTTGTGAGGATTTGTAAGAAACCTCATCACCTGCCAATATTAGGAAGAATCGATAACATCTGTTAAACGATGAATGTTTGACATAGCTGACCTACTTACTTCTGACCATATTGCTGGAATTGCCTTGGAAGATGACCCATCAGTACCTCCAAGAACCGATACAATTTCTCCATCAACCTTAGGGGCATCATCTTGAACTACAACATTACTGAAGTCCATGCCCGGAGGAATAACCTGCAAACAAATTGCACTTCAAAGCTAAAAGAACAAGTTCAAACAGTATTGTTCAATATTTTCTCATTGACCTTTACAAACTTCTACAAAATGTGAATTCGTTATGGTAATCCCCGGTTTAATCTGATCCTTAGGTTAGTTAGCTTAAAAAATCAAGTTTACCCCATAAGAAGGAAGCAATGACCAATACAACATCTCGAAATACGAGAAAAGAGAAAGGAATAAGGGAGAAATATTGTTACCACCATCCTTGGCATGTATCGACCATGACAGTTTACGCCACGTCTAACACGGGCACGTAAAACTTTTTCAAGCTTGACATCAAACCCATCATAAAGCCCCACTGCTCTTCAATCTCTTGCTGGGTACTAGTGAGAACTAGTTCT